TCGGAAGAGCTTGCTGCCTTTTGCAGCCAACACGGCTGATGAGCAGTGGAAGCTGCCATGTTTTCTGGCCCGCACAGAAGTTTCACATCACCCGAAACCCCTTTGTGGTGGGGATGCCTCTTGAAACCCACTGAACACTTGGACCAACCCTAAGGTGGTGTCTCCCTTAGAGCTATCCCAAGGCATCAAAGAGGCTTCTCATAGGAGAATACCAACCAAAAATCCCCTATTCCAGTCAAGCCACTTTCCTGTTTTATTCTGAGTTTGGGGCCTCATGCTGTTATCAAGTACAAAGAAGTGGCTTTATATAAATAGCAGTTTGACACGTGACAGAAGGCCTGAATTGGAAAGCAAGCAAAGACACATCTTGGGCTGGTCCTGAGCTCTGATTGTCCGTGTGGCTGGAATCCAGTCTGGGAAAGCAGGATACATAGGGTTTGCCAAATGTACACTGCTTCCCTAAAAAGTGAATCTGTTGTGGGCCACTTACCCTCCCTGCACAAGCAGCCCCTCCTCCCAGGCCTATCAACTGTTGGGACCTATAACTTTTCCAGCTGCTGAGCTCAACCTTGTTCATCACAAAACACAAAGCAACTTTCAGGGAATGAATGTCCAACTGTGCTGTCTCTACATGGGTCCACTGTCTGGGCATCGAACCCCTCCGTACTTCACCCTAGCTATTCAGCCAAGCAGCTCACAGGGAGGAGTGGGGTTGGGGCTCTTCTAGAAACAGGAAGCAGGAACTCTGGCCCCAGCCAAATACAGGGCATGACAGGCAGGATGAACGAGGCCACCACAGACTCATGTTTATGCAAAGAAATGTAAGGAACCTGGTTCTGTTTGGGATGCCAGGATGAGAAAGAGCATTCCAACACTATTTCGATATTGAGGCTTGAAGCTACCTTAGCTGAGCAAGAAGAATGTTCATTTAGATCTGGACTCTCAAAGGGCTGAGACACCAAAACAGGAACAAAAACCATGCCTTCACCTCTAGACAAGTTTGCAATTACTTCTAACCTGGCACTCTAACAGCACTGCTCCACAACACTACAAACGGAGTAACACGTAGCTTGCCCCTCCGCCCTCCCCCCAAGCCCAAAGGAAGGAAGTGCCCTTCTCCTCCAAAAGCCATTCCTCCGTTTGGAAAGCGCCCTTAGAGTGGCATTATCCCAAGAAAGGACTCAGCGCCCAGCCACCAGCTCCCGAAAGCAAAGCGTCTACCGGCTGATCCTCACTCTCACCATTCTAGACTTCAGTGCGACCTGAACGTGGTGTCCACTTCCCTTTTATTAAAGGGAAAGCCTTTAAAAACATTCACATACACCAGGAATTTTAAGAACGCAAGAATTTGTTGGTACACCTCATTCTAAGTAATCCTCCCCCACAAATTAGAAACTCCAATTAATGCGAGAGAGGAAAGATGGTGCTTCCTCAACACAAAAGGATGCATTCCATGTCTCTCTCTAGTTGGTTTCCCAAAGGCCTTCCCCAAGGACTCACTGAAGGAAGATCTCAATTGCACCCAATTTTCCAGGAGCACCTTTCATGATACGGCTTTTATCATGGATGACATGCAAGTCCTCAGGCAGGTCTGTGAGGAAAACGCTCCCACCGCCAAAATGAACTATCGATCACCAAACAGAAAAGGTTGTATTGTGGGTTAAAACCAATTTAGTGGTCCATGTGCCCAGGATTCATCTCCAAAGTAATTAAAAAGTAGTCCCGTCTTTCTTCCTCCCCCCACCCCTCCCTGCCTGCTTCTCAGCAGCAACAAGCTGATCATCACGCTCACCTGTCCCTACCTGCGAGGTGGCATTTCCTTCCTGTTTGACGTCTGCGTGCTACCGTGCCCTGCTGTTGGACACAACATAAATATATTCTAAATTCACTGTCACTGGACTCTTCGAACGTACGTACTGATGCAATTCTTAATAAACACCTTTATTATTATGCATAATGAATCGTTCACCAGGTGCCAACCTAGACGTCCTAAAGATTTCTTAAAAAAAAAAAATCCTAAACCACAAGGAGGACAGAGCACACAGAACCAGGCACTTCCGGCAAACTTGTTTTCCTGACCCTCTCCCTCCCCTCCCTCCTCCCTGATAAACCTAGGTGGGTGCATGTGCCAGGATCTGTGGGGCTCCTAACTTCAAGCCTTAAACTGCTTTAAAAAAATGAGGTAAAAAATTCCTATCTGACAAGTAAAACACAAACCACCCCCATGTCTCCCTGCCTGCGGAGACGGCTGTTATTGCTCTAAGTTGAAGTGTTTTGTTTTTCGTTTGTATTCAGAGTTCTTATTGCCATTCTGGCCCGCGTGGGCCCGGAGGACTGGGTGTGGAGGAGCCGGCGCCCCCTGCCGGCCAGCCCGCGCAGTCCATGCCACCGGCGCCCGGGCGCCTAGCCGCTGGGGGAGGTGGTGATGGGGCTGTGCAGGTAGGGCAGACCGCTGGGGGCGGCATGCACGCCCACCGACACAGGGAAGCTGAAGACGAACTGCGAGGTGGGCGTGGGCGTGGCCTTGCCCCGCTCGCGCAGCGGCCCCGAGGGGCTGGCAGCCTCCGCGGCACACGTCGTGGCCAGCACCTGCGACTCGAACTGCAGCAGCTGCCCCATGAAGCTGAAGTTGGGCGAGATGACGCTGCGCCGCTGCTTGACGAACTCAAAGGCCTCCTCCAGCCGCACGCGCTTCTTCATCATCAGGTAGGCCAGGCAGATGGTGGCCGAGCGCGAGATGCCCGCCTGGCAGTGCACCAGCACACGCCCGCGGCACTCCTTCACCGCATCTGGGGCAAAGAGGGGACGGGGGGTCGGCGGCGGCCTGCAGCCTCACCCATGTGGGGCTCTGGCTCTGCCCTCTGCTAAGGGATTTCTGAGACTTAGCCAAATAAATGCGCTCGGCTGGGGGAAACAGGCTAAGGCGGGTTCCATCCCAACGTACCTGCAAGGATTTCCAGCGGCAGAAACAAAAGCCACGACCCAACGCTCCCTTTCTCTGTCCTCCTCCCCGTCCCCAAAGCCTTAGCAGCATCTAGACATCTGGAGGCCCGCAAGGGAAGGATCACGGCTCCATAAACTAACAGTGGCGCAGCTGGCTTCCTACGCCTGCCCAACACAACATCCAGAGGGCAAGCCCTCCTCCAGAGGAGAGGGGCCGTGGGTCCCCTGCGCGCGGTGTCCCTGAGTCCCCGTGGCAGGGCCCCTCTCGACCTCCCGCCCCACCCCGGCCGCGGCCAGCCTACCGATGTACTCAATGGCCTCCATGAACCAGGAGCTGATGTCGGCCTTGTGGTTGTCCTCCACCGGGATGCACTTGTACTGGTAGAGCCCTTCGAAGTGGTTGGGGCAGTCAGAGACGTTCAGCAGGGCGGTGATGCCCAGGGCGTCCAGCATGTCTCTGCGGGCAGCATGGTAGGCGCTGCCGAGGTAGAGGAAGGGAAGGATCTCCACGGGACCCCCCTGCACCGGGAAGGGTGACAAAGCCAGACATCGTGAGCGTCCGGCAGCCGGGAAGGGCACTTGGGGCGGGGGCCCGAGACGGTCGGGGGCAGCTCGCACAAGCCCCTGGGACAGCGTCTATGGTTACAGCGCTGCCAGGCTCACCCAGATCTCTGCGGCCCCTGGAGGGAGCGACGGGTTCGGGGGACTTTCATAGCCTTTCCTCCGCTCCGCATGGGCGGGGAGGCCAGGACGGTGAGAGCCTTGCAGCCCCACCTGGGGGACCGAGCAGCACACCTCCCCCACTTCCAGCGGTGGGCACAGGGCTGGCCTGGCCACACGGTCACATTTAGAGATTAGCCTGTTAATCGCCAGGCTGTGTACTTGTTTGGTTGGGTATGTCAAAAGCAATGCCATGCCAGCCTAGGACAAGAGGAGGAATTCTGGCACAATGAGGTAATGGTGGCTTGACGTAATGACAATCATCCAAGTCAGAGCAACTCAAGCGATCTGGGATTTGGGGAGCAGGGTTGCTGGGCCCCACAAACTCCTTCTCCCTCTAAATGAAAGTGCTAGAAGGAGCAGGCTTGTAAGAGAGGCAGGGGCTTAAGCTCGTTTCCTTAGGAGTAGGTGGATTGACCATCCATGTCCATTTGGCATTTACAGCCAGAATATGGCCTGGCTGCTGTGGACCAGGCTGGGGTTCATTTCTTCAAAGAACGGACTACAAAGCAGGTCACCCGCACCCAGCTTCAGCGGGCCTCCCTGCCTGTCGACAGCACCCTGCTGTAGAGGCTCATCGGGTATTATGTCTTTATTATATATTTAAGTGAAGCAAGGAAGAGAGGGTAGGTACAATTTCAGAGAACAAAGGGAAGCTCCCTAACATCCACTACACATTCAGGGTTCACCACATTCACCAAATTGAGGCCCTGCCTGCAAAGAACTCTGGAAAGGAGTCCCCGGCGCCCCACGCTGCACCCGGCCTCCGTGTCTACCTGGTCATGCAGCGGTGTTCCACAGCTGCTACAGCCCAGGTCCGGGGGCTCCGCGGCGCTCGGCACAGCAGGCGGGATGGTTGCCAAGGCCTTGGTTTTAGTACAGAATTCTGGGTACTCGGAGGAAAACCTCTCATAGCCGCCTGTAAAGGAGAAAGATGTTCAGGTTAAGGGAGTCAGCAACCAGCAAGAACCCAAAAAGACCTTGAATGCCGCCCCCTGGCGGAAGAGGGCTGCTGTGAAGCTGGGGCCCGCCGGATAGACACTGGCCACTGGGTGGCGCTGTGGGCCCAGACATAACGGCTACGGCACCTTTTCCAAAGATTCAGAGTCCACCTGCGGGCAGTTCTGCATCCTGAAGGCTGGAAAGAAAAGTTCCGGACAAGACTTCCATCTGGGAGGCAGAGAGGAGGACATGCAGAGGGTATGAAGAGGGACACTCTCCAGGGGAGCTCCCTTGCTGGTGACAAAGCATGAGAGGGAATGGCCACTGGGTTTCCATGGGCACTAAGCAGAATGCAACCAGTCCCTGGGACCTGCAAGGATGTCTGTCACCCCCCAACTCCAGCCCTTCCTTCGCAGAGGTTCCCCAAGGTGGGACAGAAGGAAACTTCCCAGGCACCAGCCTTTCTGGATCTCTGCAATGGAACAGATGCCACTTGCACGGCCTCATAAACAGCTGTTCCATCAAGGGGCCAAAACGAGAGGAAACAAGCTTAAATCTAAATAAATCCCTCTTTCCACATACAGGTTTGGGGCAAGAGAGGATTTCCTGACCTGTGAGTTGCTAAGCCCTGGAATGGTTTTCTGCGGGATCATCCACCTGGGAAGGAGGGTCTTTTAAGTAAAAAGAGATAAACGGCCAACTTCTCCGGAATAGCTCAGTGGCAAACAGAAAGTGCAGGCTGGACAGGGGTGGGCAGAAGTGGGCAGGGAACCACTCCGAGAAGAGACACACAGCCCGTATCTCAGATTTTCATGTTATGTCTGGGATTTTGCGGATAATTTGCCATCAAGGTTTGGCCCCTGCTGTATTTCTTGTTTTGCAATTTCTGTAGGACCAAAAATGGATTCTATATTAATCAAGTAAAGCCTGCAGGTTGTGGTACAGCCACACCAACAGACCACTCAGCTGACGTTTGTAGCCGGCACCGTTAAATCTGAATGACTCAGCAGTATGGATCCCTGTACGGCTCATGGTGATATCCCAACATGCAGGCATGTGACAGTATCAGTTACTCGCCCCAAACCCCGGCCCTAGGAACTACTGCACTGAGAGCAGAGGAAATGATTCTTGGCCACATCACGGGGCTTACATAGACAGGGCATACATTTTTTTCCCTCTCTGACCAGTCTTCTCTTGTGCCTTTCCTCCCTCAGGATATAAATGGCTCTCTCTCTGGGCGCAGGCAGTGCACCTGCTGAGTCATGATGACCAGCCTCCCTGGATGGAAAACGTGCTATAGAAGGGCCAGGACTGGGGGTTTCTGGAATGCTGGTGGCCTCTGGGGTCATCTCTCACCACAGGGACAACCTTCCCTCCCAATAACACCCCCGCCACCCCAACCACCACGGTCCTCTTTCCTTATAAACATTTCCTGCAAACAGCGCTGCTCCAAAGCAGTGGATAGAGGTGAGGGAAGAAAAGCCAGCAAATAGCTTTGGCTGAAGTCCCTGCAATGAAATGGGCCTCTGGGCAGCTTCGGGACGTGCTCCTCCTTGGAAAAGGTGGAAGAGGAAATGGATCAGTCAGTAAACGGTTGTTGGGCACCTATATAAAAAGTCATTACATTTGAAATTTTTTAAAGTAAGCCAATTTTTGTGTTTATTACATTAATTTAGCTATTAAAACATGGTTTTGGGGTGGCATTGGGGAGGTTTCTTGTTTTGGGGGGTTTTTTTTTCAAAGAAATGTAAGGCATGGGTGGTGCCCTGCAAAGAGCTCATCACCTAGGCAGGCGGACAAGTGGCTCCCACCCAGAAGTGAATGGTAGAGTCACAGCAATGCCAAGGCCATGCTCCATGGTCACAGAGGAAGCAGAAGCCAGAGGAGCCCCAGGGGGGTTGAGAAGGTACAGAGCAGACTAGGCTGAAGCACAGCATGGCCTCTGCAGTCAAACGCGGAGGTTTGGGTTGAATCCTAACAGCGTGGGTGATCAGCTGTGCAGCCTGGGGCCATCACCGAACCTCTCTGAGCCTCTTCCCAATCTGTAAAATGTGATGAAGCGTCCATACCTGAGCCCTTAAGTGACAGAGTGGAAGAGCCAGTGTGCTCTGTGCCCGGCCTTGTGGAGGCACATACTGAAGGTTCTTTTTTTGGCACTTCCAAGGGGACCCCCAGACTCAGGAAAGCCTTACCCTCCTGGACTTTGCTTACTTTTTTCAGCTGGAGGTTTGAGACCTGGTGGTTAGACAGCGGAAGGGCAGGTACCATACTTCCTAAGCTCCGTGTCCCCTTTCCAGTTGGGGATGTCCACTACCTCCAGATAAATCATCAGTCCATCTTGGGGGCAGAGCAGAACGGTGGGGAGGCGCCCTGACGCAGTGTGAGGGGCAGGGGCAGGCAGCCAGGCCACTGGGGCGGGATGGAGGTGACCCAGAGGCCAGACCAGGCCCGAGGAGGCCCCTGTGTTGTCGCCCCCAAACTGCTCGTAAGTGGACAGAGAGACAGCAAAGGCTGGGGAAAGACACAGGGCTGAAAAATTATGACTGAGGAGTCAAGCTCCCTCTGGCAGATCTTTAACGAACAAGCAGAAAGAAAGTGAAGCAGCAGGTTAGCTCAGGGGACGGGGGCCTGGAGGGGTTGCCTCTCCAATGCCAGATGCAGTCAGAGGGCTTCCCTCCTGAGCTGTCACGAGCTTCAGCGGCTCTGTGGCTCGCTGTGACAGATACAGCACCAGCGGAGCTCCTTCTGCCCGGCCAACGAGCTGCACTGGGGCCAGGGCCCCAGAGGGGTGAAGTGTGCCGTGAGGGCTGGCAGCGCGCAGAAAGGTGGGGCACAGCGAAGGGTACACGTCAGGAGCCACTCCAGGGCACAGCCCAGAAAGTCATCTCTGGGTATCACACCCACGTGAGTGACAATTATAAGCTACTGTTGAGAGGAATGCTCACCATGAGCCAGGCGCTTTCCATGTATGTGTCCAAGTAGCAGCCCTTGAAGACAGCATGACCAGCCCACTTTACAGAAGAGGAGACTGAGTGCAAGGCAGCCCCCAGGTGAGAGCAGGGCCAACGTCCAGCCCAGTGGCCTCAAAGCCAACTTCTGACCTGACCTGGCCGTAGGAGCCCACCCCTCCCTGCCATCCCGGCGGCCCTCCCTCGGGTGCATGCCGGCTGGTTGCACTGCATGCAGACACAGGACTTCCATGCAAAACCGGAAGGGCTCTGAACGGGGCACTGCTGATGTTTCACTGAACTCTTCTTGCCGGTTCTTTTCTAACCTCAGGTTATCATTAAGGAGTTGTGACCAGCATTTTTTTGATGAAACAGGATAGAAACTTCTAAAATAATAATAATTTCTTGGCACTCTGGTTTCAGGTGTGTCTGTATCCCTGTTCTGGGTCATGATAGAAATTAAAATGAATTCTTACTGCAGGACAGGTGGAAAAAGACTGCCCCCAGACTTCTCAATCCCTTCTAGCCCAGATCTGTGCCAGTACTGTAGCCACAGCCCTGTTGGTAAGGGCCAGAGTTAGAGCACCAAGTTAAATAGGAAACACATGAGGGACAGCTTGTTCCCACTGTATCCACTGGGTTGGGCTCTGTCCGTGGCTCCTGCAGGTATGCAAGGAGCACAAAGGGAGACAGATGTGGGTGCGAGTCCCGGCTCCACAGGGGCGAGCCTGGCCAAGCACTAGCTCCCTCCTAACCCTGCTTCCCACTCTCAAAATGGAAAGATTTCAGTCTACATCATCTCTAACGGCTCTAGTATTCTCCGATCCTAAGTGATCTACTTGTTTGGGAACTACACTGACAGCAGGTGCCTACGATCTGTACTTCTATCGTCTGAACACAATTTCATAACAGATACGCCGATGAACTGCCACGTTTGTCTCTGTGTCCCAATAAATGTAATTCCCTAACATATTCTAAACTTGACCTGTTTTCCTCATGTTCTCACTTAGTAACATGAGAACTTATTTAAGGAGACCATTGTGTCATCTTAATTTTAAAACGTAAAAAGCCCAGGGGGGAACAGATACCATTTTCCCTCAACTTTCTTGAGGAATAACTACCTCTGCAGTTCAGCACCATACTCTTTATTCTTGCACACACTCACACAGCAAGGCGATTGCAGAAGTTTACTGAAAATGACCCACTGGCCAGTCATTTTGAGGCCTGTGCAGAGGTGGGAGTGAGACAGTCCTTAGAAAGGGCAGACTGGTGCAGTGCTGATGGTGTCCCAGAAGGACCCTTAATGGACCTTTGGTGTAGGAAGATTGTCCTTTGGAGGGACTGTGGCTATGGAATTTTCGGGAGCTGCTCTTTTCCTCATTACGCTGTCATCACTCAGATCAGGGCCGATTCACAGGCAGGGCTCGCAGCCTGGCTGTCCAGGGACATCTTATCAACACAAAACACTGCTGCCTGGCAAGAAAGTCTGGGCTCCTTGCCGTGGGTGCTAAGTGCTGAGCAGCACCTAAAATCTCCCTCCGTGAGCTTCTCATCTTGAGACTCCAGGAACAGGCCTGGGCCAACTGGCTGACACCTGATGCTACACGCAGGCTGCATCTCATCTGCAACCCCTCCCAGCCCTGTGTTATCTGCTCCATTCAGCAAGCTGGCTTCCGTTGGAAAGTAAACTTTTCTTCCTGTCAAACTTCCTTTTTGGTAGGCGGGACCTGCCTCCCAAATCTGGCTTCAGATGTTCTGATTTTTTAAAGCAATGTCTTGGCTCCTGAACAGGCTAGCCTTTCCCCTCTCCCAGCTCCCTGCGCAACCCTGTCTCTGGAGGGTGAGGAATTGTAATTCTTAAATGAATTACAGCAGGGTTAGACATTTAAGGCCTACCACTGTCTGGCTGGTGTGGGCATCATGTCTTATTTGTAAGGAGAAAAGCCAGGAGTAAAGACCCTCTAGGTAGAAGAGGTATACAACACCCTGGGATAGTGCCATTTGATGGCACTGACCCTTTGGGGAACTGGGATGAGCTGGGCGAATGGGGATAGAGAAGAAAAGACAGAGTCAAGGGAGTTACTAGGGCTGCTAGATGAGCAACCTCCCCCACCATTCATTACTGGCTGTTTTGCACAGAAAGTGTAATGTCAGATGTCTGCGTAGTCAGGCCTATGGGGTACTTGAGTTCCAACCCAGAAGGAGAAGCTGGAATATTAAATCGATCCTCCCGATTTCTCAGAGCAGCTCCAGAACAACTTTTAAATAACAACCTGAATAAAGACTGACAAAGATAATGAGCTGAGATGAATTTTAGGCAGGAGAAAGTACGATAACGTTTTTACATCTGAAATCTTCTGTGTAACATGTTGATTCATTATTTGGAGCAGCTGGGAGGCCCAAATGACAAAGAGAATGACTTCTTATTTATTGCAAATTTTTAAAAATCTAAAGAGTGACTTCTATTAAGATAAGAAAACGATGCACTTTTTCTCTTTAATAACCCGGATCTAAAACCCAAATCCAAAGATTTATGGAAGAAAGCGAAAGGGTTTTCAAAGGAGATGTGTATTATACTAAAATGTGAAAAGCTTAAATTTCTAAACTGTCCCTAAAAATGTCTCACAGGATCTTAAATGAGCCTTAAAAAAAATTACCCCAATAGGAATCTTTTATTAGCAGAAAGGCCAGAAAATGTAGTGGTTTGGGCTACTGCTTTTAGCAAAACTTAATCGTAGGGAATGCAAAGCTGAACAGCATCTTATTAATATTTAGTCAACTTTACTCTTGATCATAAATTCTTGCGTTTGGTATTAGTAACTACCTAATGACTAAACAACTGCCTTTCAAAGTGGTAGAAACAGAAAAATCAGATTTTTAAATGCAATTAGTTGATAGAATTAGATAGCCTTTGGCTGGGAAGGATTAAACAACTTGTGAAAATACTCCACTGTTTTTCTGTTCCCTCAGGACTGCAGACACCTCCAAAAGGTCCTCCCCTGACGACAGGTCCCACCAGTTTTACTCCACATCCACCCCACGCACCAGGTGAGAGCCACAGAAAGGCCCATAAAGCTGCAAACTAAAACGAACAAATCCACTGGGAACCAACCCCAAACCAGCTCAGGCATTTCCTAAAGATAATCTAAGGGGCTTTTCTTCCCGGGTTTCCCTTTAGTTCTCTGCCCCCGAGTCCCCTCCAATGAACCTACACTCGCTCCAGTCCGCAGGCTTCTCCACCGGAACTGGGGAGGCACCCTTTCCTCCCGGAGCCCCCGCCGTGGGAGCCGGACCCCGCGCGTTTCCTTGTGCTCTCTCACTGGGGATGCCTTCTCGTTACAGGCCAAAGAGAAGGAAGAGTAAGGCGTCCTCTGCTCAGCATGTATGTATGAAAACATGCTTCATTGAAAAGAATGCGACCCACTACACCTCGCAGATGCCCCCCCATCTCTGCAGAACAAGGCTGGAAGGGCTTCACCCCCCTCCACCACCACGCACACACATACCCATGAATTTTGGGCAGGTGCTGCCAAAGGCAGGCTCCCTTTGCTTGGAAGAGCCAGCTCAATCTCCCGGCGACACCCGGGCCCTGTTCCTGACGAGACAGAAGTTCACCCTGCGGCCAGGCCCACCCACTCTCCATCTCAGAGGATGTCCACTCTGAGAGGCACAGGGCTGCCGCCCTGCCCGCACCAGGTCAGACAAGAGGAGGCAGTGCAGGCCTCGGGAGGAAACAGCCCTGAGGACACTCCTTTTCCGCTGGCAGGGCACCTCGCCACCGCCAGGGGACTGTCACCTCGCCCAAGGCCCCGGTCCTAGCCAGTCTTCACAGGAGCATTTGCCTAGTGCCCAACGGCTCGCCCACGGGTTTGTTCTCGGAATCGATCTGGCCCCGGGCTGTCCCGGCGGGACTGGGGGAGCCAAGGGAGTGCCACGAGCCGGAGGAGAAAACCTTAATAATATGCCTTCCTCCCCGGGGCCTGAGTATCTGCGCGCCCGGAAGCCCAGGGGCCAAGGTCCCCGGACTGCCGCTACAAGGCGGTCCCCTCCGGATCTCTTACAGGAAGCCAAGCAAAACAAAACGAACCCACACTCCACGTGGGTCTGTCCTGGGCCCGGAGCCCCGCGAAGGAAGGCGCCCTTGGACTCTAAATCAGGAGGCACTCGAGGTCAGAGCAGCACGGACACCCCGCCGGAGCCGTCCACTCGAGGGGGCTTCGTCCTAGAGAAATTCCTCCTCGTTCCACGAGCGCCAGCACCAGGCGAGGGAGGGCAGGCGTGCTCACCAGCCTAGACCGGCTCGCTGGCTGCCTACCCAGCCGGTGGCCGCGGGGGTGTGCTGGAAGTGCCCGGGGCGACCTGGCAGGCGAGGCCGGCGGGTCACCGGCGGCCTGCTCGCCGCGCTCGGCGGCCCGTCCTGCCGGTGCAAGCCCCTTCCTGGCTCTTTCTCTTAAAGCGCTTTGGGGACAAGGGAGAAGGACTGGGCTCAATCCGAATCATCAGCAAAATCGCCTTCGTAGTTCAACCTGAGGTCAACAGCAGCGTCCCCCCAGCAGCTGACAGGTCAAATGGCCAGGAAACAACTGCGGAGAACAAAGCCCCCCGCTGTTCGCCAGGGGCAAACTCGGCTCGTCGGCACTGAGCAGTTCTGTTGTGCTTTTTGGAAGGGGCGGTGGGGAGAGATTTCCGCCCCCCTCCCAGCCCCTCGCCATCTCCCTTCCTCTTGGGTGAGCAGGTCCGGAGAGAAAAGGAAAGGAGAGAGGAAGCGAGGGGCGCCAGCAAGGAAAGGGGCGGCTCTGTCCGTGGCCAGGGTCTGAAACGCCTCTCGGGATGGGATCGGAGGCGAGGACCGGACGAGGGCGAAAGAATGCGCGGAATGCGGCTGTAGGAGGAAGGGGCGCAGCGCGCCTGGGGGCGCCCCACGCTACCCGCCCTGAGCTCCCGCCCCCGCGCCAGGTCCGCGGAGGTCTGCGGCCGGACACGGCCCGGCAGGTGCGACCGGCGCACCGACCCTCCAGTTGCGTGGATAGCACACGGTCCCTTGGGGGTTTCTGACTTCCAGTTTGACAAGAACTCCCCTCCCCGAAGAGTTTCGCCAGGGTTCACTTAAATCAGGCACGCGCCGCCATCAGTCAAGACTCCGGTCAGAACAAAAGGTCGTACTTGTCCTCTGCCTGAATTTAAGGGGCGCCGTCCGGTCTCGCGTTCCCCAGATACTCAGTCCTCCCGCTCCCACTCGCGTAGCCGCGTCTAGCCGGGGGCGGGAGGAGTTGGGCACCTTTCAGACGGAGCCCGGAGTTGGGCGGCAGGAGACAAGATATAGATCGCTCCACACAACGTCCACAACCCGCTTCTTCCTTCCTGAATTTACGTAAGGAGGGCTGGTTTCCAATCGAACCCAAGGGGTCCATCCCTCCTTTTCCCTCTTCCCCACCTCTCGGGTTCCCGCGGTCGGACTCAGTGCAGGATCCGGGCACGCCAGGCCAACAGGCCTAACCTGTCCCCACCCGCACAGGGATACTTGTGAGCAATACCCTGGACTCGCATGAAGGCAACGCGGACGGGTCGCTTAGCCTGCGAGGGCAGACCGTTAGAAAGTGTAAATAAATGCGGGAATCTCAAAGAAAGATACCGAAATTGCAGGTGACAGAGGAAACGCACCCTCGCGACCTCTGAGGGCTTCAGGAACTCGCACTTGCACACAAACGTACAGAAACCTTGCAAACCAGTGCACACCAACACATAAAAAGGAGTGCGCGAGGATCCCGCAGCCACGAGACCCTCCGGGGGCGCAGGCCGCCGAGCCCCGCTACACCTACCCTCCAACTGGTGCCCCGGCGCCCGTGTGTACCTTTGAGCAGGCAGATTTCAGTGCGCTCGGCGTTTCGGCGCAGCGCCTGCACTACCAAGGACACGGTGCTATCCTCGCGGAGGCTCTCGGCGCGCAGGCTGCGCTCGTCGTAGACGATGACCGCGGAGTAGAGGCCGGAGCGCAGGCGGGCGCGCACCTCCTCCTCGGCGGGCAGGATCTGCTCCAGGCTCACTGAGCCCTTGGCCCGCCGCCGCACAATGGTGTTGCAGCGCACATTGACCGAGCCTCGGATGTAGCCCGCGCTGTGCGCCAGGAACGGTCTGCAGTCCAGTAGCAGGCACTTGCCGCCGCTCAGCAGCCCCAGGGCGCCGTGGCCGCCGCTGCCGCCCGCGCCGCCGCCGCTCTCGTCCCGATTCATCAGCCTTTTGAGCACGCTGCAGTCCATCTCCCGCAGTTCCTCCACCGTCACCATGGTCGCCGGGTACTGCGGCTGCTGGGCACGCGAGGAGGCGAAAAGCACCCGGGCCGGCTGGGCTGCAGGAAGGGGCGGCCGGGAGCTGAGGGAACGCGTGCAGAAGTGGCCGCAAACTTGGCCCCCAGGGGCTGCCGCGGGCGAGCCTCTTCTCCCCGGTCCCCTAATTCCCGCAGTCTCGAGGTCCCATAGCAGCCCCAGGGGCAGCCGGCGCCAGGCAGCACCGCGCGCGGTGCCCAGGGGAGGTGGCAGTGGAGGGGAGTGTGTTTACGGGAGAGGACCAAAGGCTCCCTTCAGTTGTTGCCTCTATTGTATTTGGCCAGCGGCGCAGCTCCTGCCGCCGCCGCGCGGGCGCTGCCGTTCCGGCCGCCGTTCCCAGTAACAGCCGGAGCTCCGCGCACGGCCCCAGCCTGAGTTTCCTCCGCGGCTTAGAGATGTTTTAAGGTTCTGTTCTCCCGCGGGAGGGGGCAGATTCATTACTACCTCGCGAAGCCCCGCCTCTCGCCGCCCCGCCCCCGCGCCTGCTCCCCGCCCCGTCCCGCGCCGCCCGCCCCGGCGCGTGAATGGAGTGCCGGCCGCTCGCGCCCAGTCATGGGAACGCGACGTCACAAAGAGCGGAGTAAACAGGGCGCTGCGCGCTTGTCGCCGGGCCCATTCATAAAACCGAGATCTAGAGGAAGAGGGAGGCGGCCTCCGACCTGCAGGCGAGCTGCGGCGCTCGGACTTTGTGAATGGAGCGCAGCGGCGCCGCTCGCTGTCCGTCCGCCCGCCCGCCCGGCCTCCGCAGCGCGCGCCCCGCACGACACGAGTCGCTGCCCCCCGCCGCGGCGTCGCAGGGCTCCGCGTGAGGAAAATCGCCAGGCAAGCAGCTGGCCTGACGGAGGCCGGGGCTCGGGTGCAGCCCTCTTTACCTCCGTGCTTCCCCACGAAGCCTTGCAGGCCTCCCCCTCCCCGAAGCGGGGAGGGGAACCTGGCGCCGCCCGGCCGGCAGGGCCTGGGGCCTCCGCCCCCCAGGCTTGTGGAGCGAGTTCACCCGGCCATTTTTTTCAAATGCGATTCCGCAGACGTTAGCTTGTGCATTAGTGTGATCAATTTTCATCTTAAGCCATTAAATCAGCTTTATAGCTTCCCCAGGAACGTGGGCAGGCCCTAACTTGGAGGATGAAAGAGAAACCGGCCGCCCCGAAGCCCGGTAATAGGAGTGAGGTGTTGGATTTGCTGCTTTACGGCCCGGAGGGAGGCATTAATTGCCCGAATGCGGTTCGTACAGAGGAAGGCAGGGGTGCCACTCCGGTCCACACTTCTAACGACGTTTATTGAACCCTGGTGGGGAAAAACAGCCCACGTTCTCGGCTTTTGGAAAATCCCTCAGCCCTTCTTGCGCACGTGTGAATTGTCTTCTCGGGAAATGGTAATTAGGGTCCCCATTTGGTGCTCAGCTAGACCTTGAGAAATCTATGCTTACAGGATTTAATAAGCTCTGGGGCCGATTCCGGTTTCTCTGCATCCCTCTTTCCAGGTCATGGAGCATTTTTCCCGCCCCCAGTTTTACTTATGCATTTAATTTCCCACAGGCCGCTGTTGGCGGGGGGTTTGTGTGCGCCGCGGTGGGGACACGACAGAAGCCAAAAATCATTCGCCCGACATCTTGCCAAGTCTTGTTAGGGAGAATTAACCACCGAGCGCGGGGATCACAGGACTCGCTCGCGGCCTCGGCAGCAGCCGGGTCAAGTGTTCAGTCCAGGCCGCGCGTGGCAGCTCGAACCCGCGCGGTCACCCCCGCCCCCCGCTCGGCCTTCCGCTGCTGCTTTGTTCCCGGCCGAGCGGCTCCCCGAAGCTCTCACCTCCGGCACAGGGCCGCCCCTCCACAACCCCACCCGGGCCTTGGAGGGGGCCTCTGCTTCCGAGGCCGCGACCCGCCTCCCCTCCCACTGCGCCCCCAAATGCCCCCGACACCCCGGCTCAGGTCCAGCAGGCTGTGAGGAGTGTCGCTCGCCCGAAGGGATCGTCCTTTTACCTGGGGCTACAAAGGGGCTCGGCACGGCACTGTACTGCTCCTAGCTCACTTAGAATTTAATATTTTGTTCATCGTGGGTAGGGTTTTTATTTTGCAATAATTTTCATTGTTTAAAAAAGCATCGCATTAAGAGATTATTTATTTTAACCTCTGACTTTTTGATGTCCCCGATATTTTGCTCCCGGGACTCATTTCTTCCAGTCTGAGCCCTGGAAGAGGCGACAACCCCGAACCTAAGCCTCTTGAGTGGCGGGACCTCGGGCACCGGGCACTCCGGGTGGGAGACTCACTACTTGCTTGGCCTCTCCGGTGGGCACGGGTCTGCACTTCCTCCCGAGAGCAGGAGGGGCCTCTGTCGGGGTTCTCATATGCTGAGGTGGCTGTGAGTCTCTAAAAACTCATTCTCCCGGGTACACCAGGAGTGTGCAGGGACCTGTGCACGGAGCCCCACGCCCCGACCGTCCCGGGCTCGCTGGCTCTCCGGGGCGGCGGTCACGCAGTCCGCGAACCCGGCCCCGGCCAGGCTCTCGGGCCGGGACCTCTCCGGGCCCAGGGAAACGCCGACACCTTTACAAGGGCTCGGGCAGGACTTCTCCGGAGCAGCTGCTCGGTCGGAGGCAGGTCCGGGCCCACCTCACACGTGTCGCCGGGGCTGGGGAGGCGTCCCTGGGCCGCCCTGGCCGCGCTCAGCGAGCCTTTGTCTCCCTGGCGCGGAGCGCCCCCCGGCCCAGCGCTCACGTGGCCTGTACATAACAGTCAAATGCGGAGGGAGGAAAATGCCCACGGAACAAAGGCTTGCTTTCTGCACCTGACAGTTATCCATGCCCGCGAAGCCCGAAAACCCCTCAGGCGATTCACACGCAAGGCGGTGTGGGCGGGCGCGTGTGGGTGTGTGTCCACGCGTGCGTGCCTGTGCCTGCGCCCGCGCGCTGCAGGGCAGCCGCCGCTCCAGACCTCCCGTATCTAAGCCCTGGACCTCTTTACCAACGCAAAAGCCTGATTTTTGAAAGATAATTAAAAAAAAAAAAAATCTCTCCAACTCAGCAATTAATCTTTAGTTGATGAGATTTCAATTTTGTGTTTATCTGGATCCTATGTAAGCGCCATCAGTAATTTTTTTTCTTTTAGTTTGATATTGTAAATGTAGGGTCTGTTTGGTATACAGTTAAGTGAGTACAAAGTGAGCGCTATGATCCTGGCTGGCTTTACAGAAGATAAAACGTGTCTCCAATTAGTATGCAGACCGCGGGTGGGAAACAATCGGTTTACACAGGAACCTTAAGAAACAGCTTGGTCGATAAGTAAATCTTGGAGAAAACAAAGGCATTTGGAAGGAAGGCATTGTTTGGATGTCATTTCAAAGTTAATTTAATTAAGGAAGGCATATCTGCAGGGGTTAGGATGGGATCGCCCAAAGAGAGAGATTACTTATATTCAGCAGTAAACCTCAGGGTGAAATACTTTTAAAATTCACTATGACATGTAAATCCAACTTGTCTTTCATCAGACAGTCCTTAGACCGACCTTATTAGTCACTGTCAGGCCTGGCAAAGCCCCTGCTCTTGTTTAAGAACATTTTTTTCCAATTAGGAAGTTATGTGATCTGGGAATTTAAAGCCCTGGGTAGGATCCCCAGAGAGGGCTATGGCTTCTATTCTGGTTTTGATGCCAACTTCTGACTCACTGCCCTGTCCCAAAGTGCCTGAATAAAACTTGCCTGAAAAATCATTAATGAATTAATCAAGGTGGTGATGGAAAGAAAGGGCCTGTGCATTCCCCTTTCCTGGGCACAATAAATTGCTTATTACAGTCTCAAGGGCAATAGAATGATCTGTTTGCCAGGACCTGTTGGCCCGGAGTTAGATCAGCTGACTGGGAGACTCACCTCCGGTGGTGGGAATGCTCAGACAAGTGGAAGGCTGGCTCATGCTCAAAGCCCAGAAGTTTGTGTCTGCTGTGTGTTCTTAGACAACATGTATGACTGGAACTGAGGAATGCCTGTCCTTCCCTGCCACTTCTGCCCATCAAGTCAGGACCGAAAAACAATGGAAAGTCTTCAATGTTCAGACTGAACATCACCAAACAACCTAGAAAACACAGCCTGAAATATTTTAATCCTTTGTCATAGATCTTTTCTGTAGCCTCCGTTTATTTTCTATGCATGATACTACAGCATTTGCTAATTATTTTAAATGCTAGGTTTCTAACCTAGGGGCTCTGCAGAAAGTTCTTTTTCCATTGCTTCACTTACTACTTTATTTGAAAACAATTCAATCTAGGCTGTGCCACCACCCAGCAGCCAGCTCCTGTCCCTCCCCAAAGCCAAGCAAACTAGAATGCCACGAGGCAAAGAAAAGTCTCTAGCTCCTTTCTGTCCTTTGCTCATGGAGAGCAGAGCTGGTAGTTTTTATTTAAATGTTTAGTCACGCACTAATGTCCCGAGCATCTTAATAAAACTTCTTCAGCTTTTCAAAATCAAATGTTAGAAACAAACACTTCTTCAAATAGGAGATTTAAAAATAGACTCAGCCTTCTCCTTTTTTTTTTCAGGCTGTAAATATTTTCTTATTCATTTATTCAACAAACATGTTAAAACTTGATGAGGGAAAAAAAAAGGGGGGGTGCATTACTATTAGCAGATATAATGTGGTGGGGGGGCACGGGGAGGGCTGTACAACACAGAGAAGACAAGTAGTGATTCTATAGCATCTTACTACGCTGATGGACAGTGACTGTAATGGGGTATGTGAGGTGGACTTGGTGATGGGGGGAGTCTAGTAACCATAATGTTCCTCATGTAATTGTAGATCAATGATACCAAAAAAAAAAAAAAACACTTGATGAGGGAAACAAATTGCTTCAGAAAACTGACAGTGCCTTCGAAGAGTTTCTAATCTAGTAGGCCTCACCGGGTCCATAAGTGTGCATTACTGTAACTGTGTGTTACTGCAGGGTGGAAGGGTGGAAGCTTCCCTCATTAGGGAAGAACAAGCAAAATGCCAGGGGGATTCAGATGAGAGAAGGTTTGAACTGTGTTGTGGGTTTGGGAATGGGGGAGTGGGGGGAGGCCATCATGAATAAAATGCACTTCATCTACTTAAAGGTTACCCTTGGGTCCCTTTTTCTTTTCTTTTTTAACTTTTATTCCACCTCTGGCATTCATCCTGTCTTTGTGCCTTTTATCTTTTCCTTTCATTTGTTAACTTCGCTCTTCCCCAGTGGGTTTGCCTGCTAAAAATAGATGAGCTGTTGGTCTGAAGCTACCTGGGAGCTAAGATGGTGCAGAAGTTCTATAGAAAATCTATGCCACGGACAGAGGGCCGACCTACATGGGAAATGACCTAAGTGTGGGCCTGGCTCAACTTTCAATGTCATCCCAAGCAAGTCAGTTGTTCTATATCCTAATTTCACTATCT